TTATTAATTGTAATTTATTTCTGTGATGTCAAAACTGAATTTTCAGTAGCCATTAATCCATTCCTCAATGTCACATGATCCTTCAAAAAACATTCTAATATGGTGAGTTCTTATTATTATCAATGCTGAAAATAGATGTGCTGCTTAATATTTTTTGTGGAATTTTTTTTCTTTTTTTAGGAGTCTTTAATGAACAGAAGGTTCAAAAGAACAGCATTAATTTGAAACAGAAATATTTTGTTACACTATAAATGTTTTACTGCCACATTGACCCCAAACTTTTGAACATCTAGCACTACAGTCATGAAACACCATATTTATGAGTATGTAGAAAATTCCCAGTGGCTATATTGAATTCTGAATGTATTCATATCTTAAGGCTGCTGTTAGACACAATGCTTTCATCTCATAGCTGTTATTATATGAGATTTTAGTACGGCTGAAGTGCTATATTAACCAACTGGGAGCCAGAACCTGAGCTATGCAAACTTTAATACTAAAATATGCAGCTAAATATAATAAAACAATAAAATGTACTTTGTAGAGGTAAATCCTATAAATATATACAGTACTTGCTGGGTTTGATTACAGAATAGGTTTGCTATTTGCAGAAGAAAGAAAATCATGAACAACCATGCAGTATATGGAACATTCAGGGTTTTATTTCATGTCAATTTCCTTTCCATCAGAAGAAGGAAATTGCTATACAGTACTCAACGTCAGAGGTTATCTTAATTTCAACCATGTTGCTCTGAGCGTCAAAACTGTAGACAAAGGTATGATGCAACTAGGCTCAGCTGCCTGATATTTCTATAGCAAGAGCTAATCTTGTAATTTGATGAAACGTGCTTAATTTATGTAACTGATTTTCTATTGACATTTCATTGATTAAATATGTAATCACCCCTTTCGTTTTTTTTTCTCTCCCAAGAGAGTCATCATAACAAAGGAGCAACTGAAATGATTAGGAGCAATAATTGTTCACTTGACATGGACTGTTTCATGAATTAAACATTTATTTTGATCTTATACAATTTACAAGAAACGTGTCCATCTGTATGTATACAAATATGTATATGCATATGTACACTATCAGTCAAAAGTTTGGAATATTTACAATTTTACTTAATTGTAAAATACTTACAATTTATATTATATTATATTAGGCCTATATTATATATTAAATTATATTATATTATATTATCATTAAAAGATTAAGTGGCAAAAAATGTTTTTAACCATTATTAATAACTGAACACCAAATCAGCATATTTGAATGTTTTTTGAATGATAATGTGACACCGAAAACGGGAGTAATGGCTGCTAAGCTTTGCTTTCAGAGGAATAAATTACATTTCAAAATGAAATAATGAATTTGTACTAAATGGGAAATGAAATGTGAAATATTTATGTGCCACTGTTTGTTCTATAAATGATCCTCCATAGACATTTACAGTATGTATTTGCTCGTAAAACAGATATCTTAATATATACTCGCCATGCACACTCACACCTTCCCTCTGTGTGTGATGTGGGTGTGTGAGCGTTGGTGTCTATGGCTGAAAGGTCATTGTGAGAGAATATGAAAGGCTGAGTGAGATGCTTGCCCGCAGTGCCGGCCACTCACACACTGACTGCTTCCTGCATCAGGGCACAATCTACTTACACATAGTAGCATCACTCTTGAACTCCCCCGGGATGAAGAATTCTTTCATTACCTCAAATTAGACGTCCAGCGCTGGGTTCACGCCTGCTATCAGATACCTGTGGTGGACAGAGGGAGAGCTTTAACGAGATCATGTGTTGAGAAAGTCTCTGCTGTCATCTTATACACTCCCATAAGTACAGCAGTATAGCTTCGTATAGATTCCTGCAGATTCATAACCTTCCCTGCGCCTAAATACTCCCACATGGATTAGGAGATGGATGCAAGGATTTTTCCAGTCCAAACACAGAGATCAATACCTCTCTATGCTTAGCTCTGAATATGCTGTGTGTGTGAGAGAGAGGGACTCAATGTATGGAGTGAGATTAGTCTCAATAATAATTTGCGCAAAAGACAAGATGCACATATGCATATCCCAATTCACATGCACAAATAGACAAGAAAATATTTTTATTTATATTTTTTTTCATGCACGTGAATTAGGTTTCATGCATGTGAATTGAGATATGCATGCATGCATCGTCTTTTGCGTGAATTATTATTGAGACTAATCTCTCTCCATACTTTTGTTCATCAATGAAATTTGCAACAAATTTGCAAAAATACATCACAATCATTGATTATGTGAGAAGACTTAAGTGACTAACAAAAATCCTTGATACATCTTGCTCAAACATTGACGTCTGCTACATTAAACATTTCCTTTTTTACATGCAGGTGCAGTCTGACAAAGGAAAACAAGGGAAAGAAGAGAAAACAATAGAGGGGAGAGAAACAGACAATACTTTTTTGACAAAAGACTTTGACTCTGAGAAGACAAAGCAA